TCTTCTCCCTGGGGATAAGTGGATTGAGGCAAGGCCCCCAGAGACTAGTTTAAGGAATCCTGGTGCCCTGATTAGTTTTGTTCTTTCCGCTTAATTGTAGAGCCTCCTTTCTCCCCACTGATAACCAAAGTGCCTCTGTCCTGGCTGCCTCGCTACTCCCTTTTGCATTAGGACAAGATTGTCACAATGCAGCCTTGTGAATCAATTTTCTTTCTGTGCTGATGAAAGTGTAATTCATTCTTAATCAAGCAGCCTTGCTGCTGCAGGCTTCATGCTGGAATACATTTAGTTACCCGCCTGCCACTCTGGAAAATGGTCCCCAAAAGGACTTTTAGAGGAGAGGTGGGTGGAGTTGGCAGTCTGCTTTCTCACAGTGGGTTTCCAGCAGGGGGCACTCTTGGAGCCAATGTTGGAAGAAACTTAGTAGTTAAGACTCCTCCCTTCTAGACCATCAGCAGGGCAACTGTGGTTACAGGTACCTTCCAGGTTTGTTGTCTGCCAGCCCTAGAGCTGTTTCTCAGGAGCATCTTGATGGAGGTCTTGTCATACAGTAAACAAGAGACAGCTTGTTTTTCTTTTTGTTGTTGTTGTTGTTGTTGTTGTTGTTTGAGACAGGGTCTCTGTATATAACCTTGGCTGTTCTGGAACTCACTATGTAATCCAGGGTGGCCTCAAACTCAGATGTTCTCCTTCCTCGGCCTCTTTAGTGCTGACATTTAAAGGTTAACACCAGTATATCCAGCCAATTTTATTCTTTTCCTCTTTCTTTTCTTCTTCTTCTTCTTCTTTTTTTTTTTTTTGTTGTTGTTATTGTTGTGTTGTTTTTTAGGACAGGATCTATGTTGTCCAGGCTACCCTTGAACTTACTATTTAGAATGTTTCTGTCTCAGCCTCCTGAATCCTGGGATTACAGGCATGTGCCAGTGTGTCTCTGTCTTTTGTTCGTTTGGGTTGGGTTTGGTATTTGAAATAGGGTCTTGCTGTGTAGCTCTGGCCGATCTGGCCTCAAGCTTGTTGTAATATTCCTCCTACCTCTGCCTCTCAAGTGCTGGGATTATAGGTGTGTTCACCATGCTTGGCACTCCTGTCTGTTTAAAGAGGCAGATGTATCTACCAAATCCAGACTTGTTTAGAGTTGATGAATTGCCAGTTTTTGTCACATAATAACACAAAGTGACCTTGCTTTGCTAAGTGACTCCCTTTCCACAGGCTGGTAAGTGGTGGGTAGGAGAAAGGGTGCTTCTTCCAGTGCCTGTCTGTGTGTGCTGAAGTGGGAAGGAAGATCAGGGGCCCTTACGATAGAAACAAAGCCACACAGCTCTGCCACAGAGAAAGAAAAGGAAGTTGGTCTCTTCAGATTGAGATTGGATTAGTGACAGGCTAACGGCTGGTTCGGTCAGGAGAGAACTTAATTCCTCCTGTATTATTCACAGGGCTGATTCCAATCAGATGTGGAGACAGCTAAAGAGAGCAGCAGGTCAGCCTAGTGCCTGGAGAAGAGGCTGCATGTTCTTTAGTCATCTTCAGGGAACTCGTGGTTCCCAGCCATCCAGAGGAGCAAGGTCTGATGTCCAGATGACTGTGGTTGACCTTGTCTGGATCCAGTGTGAGTTTTGAAGGACTGTGCATAGTAGGATGGTCACTGGTCAGCATGAGCTCAGCTAGCTTGTTCAGAAAGCAGTTCCCAGCATGGAGCACTGGACCTGGTAGCATATCCACTGCCTGATGAAATAGAGAATTCTCCTTGCCCAGACAGTCTCCCGGGTATCTTAGTGGTATGAGCAGAGTCTGTACCCCACATTCAAGGGGCTGCCTCCACAGCCGAAGGATACATATTGAACACTGTAGCTGGGATTCTGCACCCTACCTCCACAGCCAAAGAGTGCATATGAACATTGTGGCTGGGACTTGGGTGAGTTCAACTCTCAACTCAGTGTGGCATAATATGAGGCTCCTGTGAAAGGAAATGAGGCTGGAATCTTTTGTTTGTTTTATTTTTTGTTTTTTTGTTTTGTTTTTTAAGACAGGGTTTCTCTTTGTAGCCGTGGCTGTCCTGGAACTGTCTCTCTGTAGACGAGGCTGGCCTCGAAATCAGAGGCCACTGCCTCTGCGTCACCATGCCCTGCTAAGGCTGGAATCTTAGTAGGGTGATCTCTGTGGCACTCTCTGGCTCTTAAAGCAGAGATGTTACTCTGCTGTGCATAGAGATCCAATCCTATCACTGAGCAACAAGATGGCCCAAGGTTGTCATGGACTCATGGACTTTTGGATGTGAGAGTCTCACAAGAAACCCAGGAAAATAGTTGGCTGGTTTTATGAAGGACTTAAACAATGTCACTTCCTCTGAGCCTGAGCTTTTCCTTTCGTGAACACCTCCTGCTTGTAGTATATAACCAGCTTTCTAGGATGACCCCTGCCTGTGTCACAGAGAGCCTAACCAGGAGCACAGTCCATAGAAACAAGTGGCAGTGCCCCAAAACCAGGGTTTCTTGGCCTCCTTCATGGATACCTTGAGTGCATACTAAAGAGAGGAGCTCAAGGCTTCTCCCGAAATACCCTTGAATCACCGCTTCCCTCCTGATGAGCTCTGCCCTCCGGTCCTGCCAGGAGCGGGGCATTTGATGTCTTAAGATAAAGGATACTTCTGAGGGAGAAGCAGTCAGAGGTGGCCACTGGAAGCATTCCAGAAGTGGGAAGTGAGCACACACTATAAATTCCTCAGACTTTGGGTTTCCTGATGGAATTAGAAGTGCCAGGAACTGTATGGTAAGGGTAGAAGGTGGGGAAGTAGCAGTCAGGCCTCCCTCTGATCTGGGCGGTGACCACAGGAGGCTCTCAGCTACCCTGTAAGGTCACTCATCTGCATGACACTGAAGTGTTGGTTGTGTTCCTCTGTACTCAGAACAGACCCTCTGGTGAGAGAAGAGGTCATCTACCCTGCAGTGAGGCAGCGGTGAGATTCTGGGAGGAGCAGCTTCCCAAAAAGAGAGCTTTGCATCCTAACAAGTACATGCTTGAGTACCTGGAATCGGATGCTGCCAAAACCCTCCCCAAGCACCTTGAGGGGACAGCCAGCATGCTTGGGTAGTGGATCCAGGAATTCTTGGAGCCAACATTGTGGAAACAGTCTAGAGGCTTTCAGAGGCCCCCCACAGCCTGGGCGTCATGCCTGGGGAAGTATCCAGGCCTCTCAGGGCAGTGTCTGTCCTGGCTCAGAGGCTGGCACAGTTCATGGCCCTTCTTCTGCCTGCATCTTATCTAACCAGGGCTCTGCTCTGATTTGCTTCCCCTAGAAAGGGTTTGATGCTACAGTTAGGAAAGGCAGCTGATGAGTTCTCAGTGTGAACCAGGTGGATGCTAAGTGTTGCCTCTGCCACCCAGAGAAGGGGCTGCATTGCCCTGTGTCACCATAGGGAACTGATACCAATAGGTTTGTGACCTGGTCACTGCATGGACAGATTCTTGGGTATTACTGTGCTTAGATTTCACTGGAAGTGGCTGTGGGTATATCCTATCCCTGCCTGCAGGCTCCTTATTCCCAGAAATTTCCTGAGGTTGTTCCGGAAGTGTGGGGACACCTTTTGATATAAGCCCTCCCCATAGAGGACTTTTGTCCTAGATCTCTGGCACCATCTTCTCCTTTACCTCCCTGGTCCCCTCTCTGCTGGCACTATGGGAAAACCTAGCCAAATGCAGTTCCCGTTTGGAGGGTGTTTGCCTCAGCAAAGAAAAGCCCTCTGCATTCCTGGCAGAACTGGGCTTCCATAGAGCTTCTGGAATTGGTTCCGCTGAAGAAAACAGCTCAGATGCCTCCTTGCATCCAGCTTGTTAGTCGGGAACTTCAAGGCCAAAAGATTTGGCAGGATTTAAAGAGTCGGCTCTCAAGCTGTCTCATTTTGCGCACACTAATGCTGCCTGTCTTTTGATGGTGAGGTGGGTTCACAGTCTCCCTCTCCTGCCCTTTGTAGAGCTTTGGTGAGTACAGCGGATTCTTCAGGCTGAAACTACCCAGGGCTCAGGGAAAGACCCCACCAGCTAACCTGCCCTATGGCTTACCTCCAGAGGCATGAGGTTCGGAGATGGCAAGGGTGTTTACTGAGGCCACACAGTGAGCTGGAATGGAAACAGTCAGCCTCCTGTCTCCCCTTTATATACAATTGTGGCCCATATCCCATTCCATCCACTCAGTCTGTTCTCCTGCTCGGAGCCAGGCTCTAAGGTAAATGTTTGGGGGATGGAGACGGACAGTGCCGTTGCTGGCACACTTCTGGGGAGCTCTGGGGCTGCATCAAGAACATAATCTTGCCCCTCAGGCCTCCATTTCAGGAATAGCAAGAAATAGGTGCCTATGCCAGATGCTTCTGTCTGGGGAGAGGCTGGGAGGCAGCCCCAGAGTCAGGGACTTGGGAAGGTGTGTCTGCCTCTGCTCCCCTTCTCCATTTTCCTGGCTAGTACACTTCTTAGGAGGTAGGGTGACCTGTCAGGCACTGCCCAGTGCACCTGTCCTGTAGAGAAGGAGACTCTGTTGCCTCTTGGCTTCCAGACCATGGGTGAGTCTGCTTGGAAGTCACCCTAAACTAGGACCACAGTTCCTCCTTGCCTGAAGCCATGTGCCTTGCCCTAGGTGTAAGAACTGAAAGGTTTGTGGTACCAACCTGGGCCTCAGCCCAGAGAAGCTGGTGCACTACACAGCACAGGACAAGAGTTGGAGTTCAGAGCCAAAGAAACACAAGAATCATAAACTAGACTCTCTCCTCTGGGAAAAGCTCATGTGATAGACATGTACCCTCTGTGATGCATCTGCCCACCAGCCATCCTTTCTGGCATGTCACTTATCATTTTACATTTGAATCCTGGGGTCAGTTGACCACTGGTATCTTGAGCACCCATTTGGGCAACCTTCCCTGTCCCTCTACTACCTTTGAGGTCCTTCCCTGCCGCAAGATGGGCTGTGCTGTGATTCCCAGAGCCCCTTTCAGCTTCTCTCTTCTTTCTTACAGCTCACTCTGCAGAGCGCCAAGTCCCGAGTGGCCTTCTTTGAAGAACTCTAGCAGTGATCCAGCCACCTCAGGATCTGCCACTTCTGCTGCTCCTGACAGCGACAGGATGGGCCTGGCCCCTTGGGAGCCATCAATAGGGAGCTGGCTTGTTTGGGAACTCCGAATAGGGGGCCCAATCCCCTTTGTGTGCAGTTGGTTTTGAACTCTGGCCCTGTAGAGAGCTCTCAAGGTGTTCTAGTTCTCTTGGCCTGCATCTTTTTTTTTCTTTGTGCCTCCCCCCCTTTGAGAAGTATTTGTTGTTGTGCATGGATGCCATCCTTCCTACGTTCTAGGCACTGTGGTGCAAGTGTCCCAGTGCCTGCTGCTCACTCCAGAACCTGGTTTGGGAAGTGGCTTTAGGAGTCCAGTGTGGAGGCTGCCTAAAATCTATCATGCTGGTGCTACCTGCTCCCCCACTGGGGTTCTGAGATGTGCCTCTCCTCCACAATGAGGACCTGACATGGTGCAGAAGCATGGCCAGGCTGGCTAGAGCCAGCAATGATGGTTCGTTAGCCAGGCTCCCGAGACAGTGTTGTAGCTGTCTGATGGTGGGAAGCAGGCTGGTGGCTAGCTGAAGGGCTGGGAGGCGAGTGGAGCCCATGCGGGCTCTGACAGGACAGTGTGTACATGACACCCTCAGGCTCACTCACCTGCCTGTGGTGTGCCAGGGGTTTCTTGGTCACATTCCCGTTAGGGCCTCCATTATCCCATTCAGCACATGGAACTCCAGCCCTGCTGCTTGTCCCATCATATTCTTCGCAACTCTAATACCTAGTCCTCATTGCCCTGGTCTTCTCCGAGAGCCCTTCTTTCACAGTTGAGTGGTCTCACAGGTCAACCCTATGGGTTGCCTCCATGCTGGGCAGCAGATGCGTATCATGTAGCTCACACACTCCATGATTGGCTCTACCTTCTTTGTAATGGGTGTCCTCCTGTGGCCAGATAAGCCCTTCAGGTCCTGATAGAGCAGGTCATGTGTCTCAGTCCATGAAGAGATGTATATTAACTGAAGACAGCTGAGTTGAGGGTCTGGGAGCAAAGGAATGCTCCACAGTACAGTTTGGTTTTGAGAAACTGAGGCACTCTACCTTGTTCCCACTGACTGGCTGCACTTTTGGCCACCTGGTCATAGTAGCCACCCCTGAGTGTCACCCCAGCTCCTTGGCCACCTAGGTTAGGATTCTAGTCTGGAACCTAAGGCAAAGGACCCCGGACTTGACACTGTCATTTGCCAAGTCTGCTCTGGCTCTGATGTCGAGCTGTCTTCTCCGGCCTGAAATCCATCCCTGACTTCCTTCCAGGATTGACTTTCTTCCTCTCTGTAAATTGAATCTTTGACAATGGCTGTGGACACAGGACCATGATGCTGGTTTATAAAAATTATGCCAGGCCTTGTTTTTGTTTTTTTTAACTTAACTACTGTTTGTGTCTCAAATTTTGGGAATGCCAAGCTACATAACCACATGGGAACCCTGGTATTTGAGCAGTGGTAGGTGTAACTATTGCCTCATAGGTGGGACCCGAAACCCACTCAGTCAGGAGTACCTCAGCTTCCCTGGAGAGAGAAGCAGGGGTCCTCAGAGTGTCTCCAGCCCCAGTAGGAGGAGGACTGAAAGCAGTGCCCATTTTGAGTCTGTGGCTGAGTCCTTTCTGGTAGGCAGTTACAAAGTCGAAGAGGAAGGTCTCTGCAATCCGAGGAAGTGGGCTCCAGCCCTGGCTGTTTTAATTTCTAGCTGCAATGGCTCTCGTGCAGAGGTACCGTGATTCCGAAACATTCACTTCTCAGTGCAGGACACTGAGGCTTTGCTGTTGGCCTGTGGCCACTCTATATCCTGACTAAGGTCGTACCTCAGTCACAACAGCACTCTGACCCGAGGTCACTGCTCAGCTATTCATGTACTAGCCAGGCCTTGCTGGACAACACCCATGGATGTACATAAAACACTACTTGAGTTACTGTTTTGTCTTGTAGACCGGTTTCTCTTGCTCCCTCACTTTCAGAAAAGTCCAGAGGCTGACAACCAACAGCAGTGACTAACTGTCCTTGCCAACAGGGCCAGAGGCTCAAAACACCTAGTGCAAGCATCCTTCGTGGGGGTCGTGGGGGTAGGGTGTGGACATCCAGCCTCTTCAGGTGCCTTGAGGCCAAGCCAGCGCAGCACCCATGGGCTTCCATTCCTCTGGGTTTTTTTGTTTTTTTGTTTTTTATTATTGAACCGCTCACTCCTGTTGGGCCCAGAACATAAAGCTGTTTTCTATTTGGGGTGGGGTGATTGTAATTTAAGTGATTGTTTAAATAAAAATCCTAAGTGCAAGACTCTGTCACTGGTGTCTTGTTTTTAGCTTTATTTTTGTTTTATGTATACTTTGCCTGCATGTATATATGTGCACCACATGTATGTCGTGTCTGTTATTTACTGAGGTCAAAGACTTCAGAGCCCCTGGGACTGGAATTATGGATGGTTGGTTGTGTGTCACCTTATGGTTGCTGGGTCCTCTGGAACAAATATTCTTCAGAGCCACATACGTGCAGGCAGGGCACTCATACACAAATAAAATATTCCTTGGCACACACCTGGATAGCCCTCAGGAGGCTGAGGCAGGAGGATTTTGAGTTTGAGGCCAGCCTGTCTCCAAAAGAAAGTAAGTCATACTCCCCTGTAATGCTATCATTAGCATCAGCTCACATCCAGTGTTTCCATAGGCTGCGTAACCTAGAGACTGACAGTCTGTGAGTGCGCTATGACATGTGTGAGACAATGAAATCACCTAACACTGCATTTCAGAGTCTGTCTCCATCACTGAGTGACGATGCCCCGTTGGATACATATTTCCCAGGGTCTGAGTTAAAATACTACTAGATATATTTGAGGATGGTGTTATAACAGTTATAAAAGTTTTGGCAATGTTTTGTTGGCTTTGAATATAGAGTTCATAACTGATTAAACCACACTGGTTGGGGGATTGTTTTTTGCTTCTTTGCCGGGGAAGGCTTTTCAAGACAGGATTTCTCTGTGTAGCCCAGGCTGTCTAGGAATTTGATCTGTAGACCAGGCTGGCCTTGAACTCAGAGCTCCTCCTGCCTTGACTCCTGAGTGCTGGGATTAAAGGTGTGTGCCACCACACCCAGTTTAGACCACACTGTTTTTTGACACAGGATCTCACTATGAAGTTCTGGCTGTCCTCAAACTCCCAGAGATTCAGCTGCCTCTGCTTCCTGAATGCTGGGGTTAAAGGCATGTGTCACTATGCCTTGCAAAACAATTTTTTGTCTCATGTAGCCCAAGCTACCCTCAGTCTCACTGCACAGCTGAAGATGACCTTGACCTCCTGTTTTCCTGTCTCCACCCTCCCACCCCCAGGGCTAGGACTATCGTCACGCAATATCACTTTTGATTTATGTGGTGCTGGAGGGGGGGGAGGTGCAGGGGTTCATACCCAGGGCTTCAGGCATTCTCTTTTGTACTAGATCAATTTAAATACAAGCTTCCTAAGTATAGAATGTTAGTTCTAATAACTGGAGGAGCCTGACTTCCTGGACAGTCAAAGCAGAGAAATTGCTCTGTATGTATTGGCCATTTTAAGCAGTATTTTTACCTGACTTTTTAAAGAAACTCCAATAGCCCAAAGTGCTCCCACTGACAACCTAACATCCTGTCAAGCAGAGCTGGGACTGATAGCATTGGCTGGTAGTTCCATTATTTTGAAACACTATGTAGTACAGGCTGGCCGCCATCTTCCTGTCCTGCCTCATGCACCTTAGTGCTGGAATGACAGGTGTTCATCTGGCATAGAGTGACAGGCTCTGTCTGGCATCATGGTGTGGAACAGATTGCCTGAGTTCTAGTGTTTTCGGTTGTTCTGACCTATGATGTCAACTCCAGGTAGCATGGACCTTGGTGCTTCATTGTGGTGTTCTCAGCCCAGTGCCACAGTGTCCACTGCTGTCATTGTGGCCTCCCTGCCAGCACTTCCTCCTCTGCCTTGTTCTTCGTGAGTGGGGAGTGCCTGGCAGCTGTCCCCCAGTGCTGTGTGTCCCAGAAGCCTTCATGGGGAAGATCAGATTAAGAGTCGCCCACGTGTAATGAAGCCCAAGTCTAGAAGGGCAGAAGGTTTTGGCAGAAAATTGCTGCAACCTTGTCTGATCCAATCCTTTGCAGGCTGGAGAAGAGAAAGTCACTGCCTTCAGCTCTCTGTCTCCCTGCAGACAGCCCAGACATCCTCTCCAGCAATAGGGCTCCCCCGCCCCTCCCTGCTGTGTGGGGCTCCCTGGCAGCCTGTCATTACTGCATTATGGCAGGATCCCGAGGCTGCAGTCCCAGCCCTGTAGGGAGAAAGCTCCTTCAGCCATCAGCGTGGTGGCAGGGCAGTGCTAGCAAATTATGGGACCGTTTATCAGCACAGCAAGGTCTCTATCTGACTCAGAGAGGACCCCTGCTGGCTCCTGTCCTGTCTCCACTGGATGCCCATCTCTTACTGGAGTGGTGACCCCAGAATAGCACCTCGCCTGCTGCTGCCAGGTAGACTTCAGAGCCACCTGAGAACCTTGAGGTGGGAGCCACAAAACCCCCAAACCCCAGCCTCCACTTACCAGCTCTGCCTAGCCATAGATAGCACTGCCCTCACCCCCTCACCCCAGGGCAGAGTCCTCTGTCACTTCTGTAGAAGTGATTGACAGTGATACTTCTCCTCGGGGGCCTCAGGCAGATGAAGAATAGAAACAAAACGTACTCCAAAGCCACAAGAGGGCTCAATGGGTAAAGACACTTGCTGTTAAATTCTATCCCACGGGATATTGGAAGGAGAAAACCAACTCCCACAAATTGTTCTCTAGCCTCTACCCAAGCACCACAGCATGCCATCCCCCAATAAGTACGTGTAATAAAAAAATTAAGTTTTCCAAGACAATAATAAAAAAAATTTAAATGTCAGGCATAAGTGGCACACGCCTTTAATCACAACACTCAGGCAGGCAGATCTCAGTGAGTTTGAGGCCAGCCTGGTCTACAATGTGTCAAAAAAACAAAAAGAAAAAAAATTAAGTATTCCAGTTTCTCAGAAAAACATGGTATGGCCACATAAGAGCAAGAATGGCATGAAGGAACAGAATGTTTTTGCTTTTAGACAGGCTCTTCCTCTGTTCCAGAGTGACCTTGAACTCAAGGAAATCCTTCCACCTCACCTCCCAAGTGCTGAGATAGCAAGCATGTGCCATCATTGGCATCTGGAATCTTCTTTATCACCAGCCTCTGGGGCACTGGGGACAAGCCTTGTCCTAGCAGAGGGGCTCAAAGCCCTTCTTGACTTGTCCCTATTAGTCTGGGTCCCACACCTGCTCAGCCACTTACTAGCCATTCCAACTTAGGCAAGTGGTTTCATGTTTGCTGCCGTCAATGGGACTTTTTAAAAAGGTTTTATGGAGATTAATGATGCCTAGAAGGCCCTAAGCATAGGACCTAGACATGTGGTCACTCCAGGGAGCTGGCTTTCTCTGAATAGTGCCTTCTGGAGGGCTGAAATAGAAGGACACAGAGAAAAGGACTAGGGTGACCCAAGGAAGTCACAGCCAGAAGTACCAGGCATACCCACTGCCCCATGTGGGCCCCACCTCACCCCCTGCACCTGGAGCTTAATGACCTTGCATCTGGTCTATTTGTCCTCGGTGTTTGCTCAGTGCCAGCTGCAGAGCCCACGAGATGATAGATAACCCAGCCTGGGGCTGCCCGGGAAGGATGTTATTGTGCCACATTAATACTCTCTACTTGGGTCAATAATTTACTGGAGATTCAGGACAGGAGGCTGTGGATGGACCACGGTCAGCTCTGCATACAGAGCTCTCACCCTCTCCATGGCACCTAGGTTGAAAGAATCATGCAGCAGACACTAAAGAGAGATGGCAGTGACCTAATTTTCTCTTATCGGGCATAAGGGAGTAGTCCCCACAGAGCCTTGCCCATTTCCAATATAAATAATGTAATTCGCTACCCCCCCTTGGGGAGGAAGGGGCAGCCTTTGATCTGAAGGAATTAAGTCAGTAAACAAAAGCTGAGCAGGCTGTGGAGGTGTCTTGTGACAGGTACCTGCTGTGCCCCAGAGACTAGAGTTAAATTCTAACACTGGGTCAGCCTAGCTTGGCTCTTCCAAGTTTCTCTATCCCCAGCTGACACCCCTCTAGAGCTCCTGGCACTCACCTATGGGAGCTAAGCATGTCATGGTGCCGCTCCACCCTTTCCTCGCTGGGGGGTCCTGATGAGGGAGTAGTTTTCAGTTGAGAGTGGTACCCTGGGAAGCCTGCGTGAAAAGCTTGATGTTCTGGGCTGCATGGCTTAGTCCAGGCCTGAGGGTCTACAGGCTGGGAGCAGAGACTGAAAAAGTCCTGAGGAGCTGCTGCAGGCAGGGCTCTCCTCCCTCCATCTCCATGCTTTAGCTATGTAGCCTTGAAGTCTGGTCTCCTCTCTGGGCTTCCGAGCCTTGGCTGCACAGGTCACATTTGCAGAAGAATTCTGGGATGCCCTAAGTTTCAGTTTCACAGTCTGGTTTTTCTAGGTTCTGTCAAGAGTGTCACCATTTGGGGAAATAAAAGAAGATTGTGGAGATGCACTAGACCCAGCCAGCTTGGCCTAGGCTAAGAATACCCACCTCACCCCATTTTCTCTCCTAACCCTACATTCTCTTGGCACAGCTTGGAAAGGTTGGCATGGCCACTCCAGACTTTCCCGGTGCTCTGCCTCTTGAGTCCTAGGTCCTGTCAGCCAGGGTAGCAAGAGCTGAGTCCTCAGCCTGGCCTGTTGTGACAGTTGTTCTGCTTTTAAATCCACGGGGGACCACACCCGATCTCTCCCCTCCACTCCCTCCCTCCCTCCCTCCCTCCTCCCAGCCTTCAGCTCCCAAGCTGAGATCCCCAGTTCCCTAGGCTGAATCTATTAAGTTCTTCATATTAACCAGCAAAGGGGGAAACAACCCTCTTTCATCTTAAGCGAGTGAATTTGCATTAACACCTGGGGAGTTCTGTTTGCCTTGAGAAAGCCCATTGCTATTCTAGGCTGCACACAGCAGCGCAGGGTTAGTTGCAGCATTCTATTCTTTTATTAATACGGCTTTGCTCTACGCCCTCTTCTTTTCCCATGGAAGGAGAAGAGTGGCAGGGGATTCCAGGGCTCCCCTCTCCACTCGGGGATGCCAAGAATGAGGGCAGGGAGCAGTTCCCAGTGGAGCTGTGTCTTCCTGGGGAAGACAGCTGCGGCTGCCCTCTGTCTGGGATCCTGGTGCAACTTTACCAGCCACATTCAGCAGGCCCCGCTGTGCCAGTTCACACATAGTTG